CAGTAGAAGCCACCATGGTAGCAACTAATATGGATCTTAATAATGAAATACAGAAACAAAATGCACTGATTGTTCCACATTTCTATTTTTTTCTCATTTGCTGCTCACACAGCGCTTGTTAGCACAATTCTCTAAAGGGCAGTGATGGGCCGTCAGTGGCCTCCTCTGACGTTTACATTCATATCAGAGGCTCTCGCTTCAAGTCCACCTGCTAAAATAAATCTGACAAGACCAAAGGTTTCATACACTCTCTGCTCTTTTGTACTTATTTAGAAATTAGAGCTGTTTCTGCACAGCTCTCATCAAACCATCAGAGATCCCACAGTCAGGCTGAGAATCTTCATTAGGCTTCAAAACATGTGTAACTGTAGATCTCAACACTTACAAACTGGTACAAAGTACACATGGACAGACACACACACCTGAAGTGCAGCTGCATGTGAAGTTACGTCCTTCCCCTCCCTGTCTCACGTCAGTGCAGGTGCCGTTGTTGTGACAAGGCCGGTGGAGGCAGGCATCAAACTCCTCACAGAAGATTCCAGTGTAGCCGTCTTCACACTCACAGTAGAAAGTGCTCTGCAAAATGTCAAGTAAAATAATTCAGGAACAAACTCGTGTTATTGAGCATCACCACCCAAATATGATTAAAACTCCCACGATGTGAGTAAAATATCTAATAATATGCAATGCTGTATTTTGTGGCATTCCATTGAGTTGGTCTGCTGTTGTGTTGTGGTTGTTGTTCGTCTGTTTTCTTCCTGGCACCTGATCTCTGATGTTAGGTTAAACTGAGTTTTTTTTCTACTCTACGTTTGTGAATAATGATGCTGGACGTGATGATGCAGCTTCAGCTATAATGTTGAGTTTGAATAATATGGAAAATGTGTTGTGCTTATTTTGCAGTTGTGCAATTGTGACACGGTGTGTGGTTGCTGAGACCATGCGTCTACAAACAGCAAGAAGAATCATGATTATAATTTTACTCACTGAATATGTGCAGATGCATCAGTTTCTATATGGATGTGTGACCTCAACAAACAAACCTGTATGAAATGAGCCTGTGGGCACTGTTAGTAGTATAAAAACACACCACAGGGTTTTTCTCCAGTGTCTCTCTCAGCCTCATTCACATTAAAATTCAAATGTTTTCTTGATGAGAAGAAAAGTTTTATTTCCTGGACTTCTCACCTCAGAGGGCTGCGTGATACATTTGCCTTTCCCTGAGCACTGAGGGTCACTGAAGCTGCTGCCGGGCTCCACACAGCTGCTGGCCTTCACCGTCAGGTTGAGACGCAGGGTGACCTCCGGGGCTGTAGGGGCGCCCACACGCATCACACCTACCACAGAAGAATGGGGGGGTCTCATTAACGGTGTTTTTTGTATTACGTATATATTTACATACAAAAAACATACAGGAAAAAATTTAAACTTACAGGGAAATTTTGCACTTGAACAGACATCAGCTCAATAAGAACTACCTACAATTAAAGAAACAATCTCAGAGAACATGATTTACCATGTAATTGACTTTTGTTTGGTCCATGCACCATCCACTAATATGGAGGAGGTGGGATTGATAACCTAAACTGCAGCCAACCATCAAGTGGCAATCAAGAATGTTGCCCATCTATATATTATACATCTGTAGCATTTAGCCAGCAGCCTTTAAAGCTGGCTGGACTGGAGAATCTCAGCCTAAGCAGGTGTTTTAGAGCAGATTTTACAAGATTCCTCGCCTGAAAAAAACACTGTGCTTCAAAACGAAGACACTAAAAGAGTTCTGAAGCTGTTTATTGCGACGGAAATAGAGTGTGTGTCTCTCTGACTTGACTCTCTGGGTCTTTAAGTCCACAACATCTTACATCTTCAATCAAAGCTGACAGCCACACAGGAACTTGGATAAAAATACCCTCATCATGAATATTAACTGCCATTTTTTGAGAGCTTGAAGCCAATGAGCTGTGAGTCAGTGATGAGGCGCTGATGATGTCAGCTCCTCAGCCAATCAGAGAGCTGATCAAACAGCTTGTGCTCCTCTGTCACCTCTGACCGAACGATCGTCAGACCAATGACGTCGAATTTGCACCTGCAGAGTCACTGCACCTTTGAATCATAAAAGAGCGTCGCCGACACTCAGACACGTGTGGAGAAGGAAATGCAATGTCACTGCAGTGCTCCATCCTCTTCACTGACGCTTTGCACAGATTTTCACAGCTTGCGCTCACGTACGCAAGGTCACACGCCCTCAGGTCTGCACGCCACATAATTGAAATTGAGTGAACATGAGAGTTTGTGGTTTTGAATCATTTCTCAGTTATTATCCAGCCTGACTGCAGCAGCAGAGAGAGTGTGTCTCCCCTCTCCTGCAGTTTGACCTTCGTTCTTCCCTCCTTCTGCATTCTCTGTCCTTTTCTCTAATCCCTGTCCGTCTTGCCATCTCTTCTTTCCCTTCTCTCTCTTCTTATCTGACTCTTCCTCTCCCCCACCCTCCCTTATCCTCCCTCCCCTCTGACTTAACTCCCCAATGTCATCTCTGCTGTCTCTCCCTGGTGAAGCGAAAGCGGCGTTGCAACAGACATGTCAAGGTCAGCAGACAGGCAGTGAAACAGCATCAGGTATGTCGAGCCCACACAGGGGTCAGCCAGCCCTTCAGTCAAAGAGTGAGACTACACTCACCACCCTCCAGCGCTCACTGCAGCTCACACATTTGTTTTCACCACACATGTGAGTACTCTCACTAAATCTGTGTGTGAAGCTCTGTATTAAAATACAGATGGTAAATTGCATAAATATCTTTTTTTTTCAATGTGCATATATAATATTCTGACTCATATATGCAAATATTATGTGATTCTCCCCAATGACTTGTCAGGAATAAACGCTATAGATAAAATGTATTTAAATTCATTCACCCTCGGATGTTTTTGGCTTAGTTATAAATGAGCTATTTGGAGAAGTTTCCGGATGTTTTCTCTTCATCTTCTCTCTGCGCTTGTTGGATAACTATCACACAAAATAAAAAATACAACCAGAGATAATAAAAGTAGAAAATTTAAATGACACATTTTTTTGTCTCTGTGAATTTCATCTGGTTTAAATGTGGATAATGACTCATTTGATGAAATATTAATTCTAGTTTCTGACCGACTTTCCAATATTTTTTATCTAAGTATGTTTTTATTGTTTACTTTCAGTCCATTATAGATTTATGTTTAACTAACACATTTTTCATTAACTCCTTAGTGTTTTTAGTACTTTCATTTATTGCTTGGTCTTTCATTCATGATGATGCCAACACAAAAAACTAAATCCTTAATCCGAGAAAATTAAACATATATTTAGAAAATCTTCCTCAAAACGAACCATTAGGAATTCTGTTACTTTGTGATGTCATCTCAGCTCTGCCCCTATCACTGATCCTCCACCCAACCTCGCAGGACTTGGCTTCTCTAAATGTTTATATATATTATATTATATTTTTATTTGGTGTCTATAAGTCATGTCAAGTCAAGTCAATCTATTTATATAGCATATTTACAGGCTGAGATCACAACAAAAACATTTTAAATAACAAATATTAATGACTGTTTTTCATTTAGCTTATTATCTTTACAACATTATTATTCTACTAACTTGATTTCATTGTTTCTTGTATCAGAATGTTTAGGGTTTGAACTGAAATCCAAACACTACTGTGGATGTTTGTGTGTATGGCTGCAAACTCACAGTAAATGGATGATGGTGATGGAGCTCTGAAAATAATGTGGTTGATGGTTTTATTTCCGCAGGCTTTACCTGGGCTGCAGCTTTTACCACTGAGTTTGATCAAGCTACAATAAAGCTACAATCCATCACCTACGTTTGGCCTGGACGTGCGTCACTAAGAAAACAGTCTGCCAATCAGAAGAGAGGCTCTCGTTTGATTGACTGACGGAGAAAAGCCTGTGGAATGAAGACGTAAAACTATATTGAGGTGGTTAAAACCACAAACGTATCTTTTTTATGAATATCAAACTGTCAAATAAAACCCTGCAGTGTGACAGTATAAAATAAAGGGCCTATAAAAGTTCTTCAGACACTTCATGCATTTTGGTGAACAATGAGGCACCGCTCTGTATCAGAAAGGAGTCAGTGAGGGTATAATTCAGGAGAGTCTTACTGAGGAAGTAGTTCTGTCCCAGGGGCAGCGAGTTGTCTGGCACCACCAGTCCATCAGGGGCCTGCAGGAACCACACTGCAGTGCCGTTGGAAATGGACGAACGAAGGAAACCATCTTCGTTCAATCGCCAAAGCTCTGGAGCTCCGTTGGCATCGACCACCACCCTGGTTGGAGAGAAATGAAAGAGATGGGAGGGTGGAGGACGAGGACGAGGAGTTAAATGGGATTGAGTATCAGAAAGAGAATCTGATGATGGCAGCTTTGGTTTATATTTCTTGAGTTCAGTGCCGACTGCTTAATGGTTTTCACTGGTCACAAGTCTCTTTTCCTGCATTTATACTGGAACTTTTGAATATTCACAGTATCAATAATGGATGGGGCAAGAAATATGTTGAATATTAGAAATACAATCTACATAATGTGGTACAGCCAGTGAGCACTTATCTGGGCATTTTAAACAGGATTAAAGTGTAAACAAAATCTGTTTCAGCAAGATAAATGACTCTTCTGAGTCTTAACATATTCATTTTGAAGGTTGTTCATCGATGGACAGTGTCTGTCCCATGTCTGACCCCAGAGCTGTTGGTTAAGGGACAGTTTTCTGTTTGTTGATCCACCCAGGCATCATGTTTAGGTCTTATGAGTAATGTCTGCCAGTGGTGTGTCTCAGTGGGGATGAAGTTTCCTCCTGTGGATTCACTGTGTAATCTACACATAACACCGGTATGGTTGGGGGTGAGGGACAATCATTCATCAGGACCACAGACATTTGGTCAAATCAGGGAGAAAGACCAAAATGGAGCAGAAAAACTGAAGAAGAAGCAGGTTTCACAAAATGTTATTTAAACATCATTTCTACAACATTCTTGAATCATACTCATTTCTGAATGTGTTGGAAGGTTCATGGATAGAAATATAAAAAACACTTTATGCCAATTAACAGATCCAGATGACACAATAGTCTCCTGTCATCCATTAAAAAACTCTTGTTGGATTTCCATTATATTTAGTGAGCACACTCAAGCTCCCCAGAGGATACACCCTTTTATGTGAGAGCAGCTGTTCTCTGGTTGTCAAAAGGATGGTTGAGGTTAATACCTTTAATATTTCTGGGCACATGTTAGTGCAGAAAACATCTTATGCTAAAGTTAAACTGCTGAGGTTTAATTATAGTTAATCAACACAACTGAATAGTTTTCTGGCCACAACAAGGATTAAAATCTAAGAATACATGAGTGACATCAACACAGCTATACACAGATAACAACCACTAGGAGGACAAACCGTCTGAAGGTCAACATTCCCACAATCCCCTAATGAGACTGTTTTCTTGGGCAGAGAGAGAAGAACAACACAGACAATGTTTCCTGCCAGAGATGCTCAGCTCCAGCAGCTGCCGGTCAAACAAACACCAGAGTCCAGCTGAGGTACCACACTGAGTCCTCGTAAGAGAGCGACCATATAGGGCTGAGAGAGTGTGGAAGGCAGGGCAGTAAGAAGGAGGCTGAACAACTTCAATGAGGCTCCTCACCGTTTATATGTTTTGAAACACTTCTCTAACCTCACTCCTACATCTGAAATAACACTTTTCATTTGAACAAAAACAAATGGAAAACCAGCAATTATCCTCTCAGCCCTTCGCTCTTTCTGTGTATTTTGTGTTCTATTGTCTGCTTGAATAAATAACAGCAATTATCAATCTCTCTGCAGTGGGAAGCAGCTGAAAGTACTTTGCAGAGAAAGTGAAGGTTTAAAATAGCTGCTGGATGATGTGTTAAACTCTTAAATGTGTTTATTACACAAGAGAATCACACATCTCGCAAGGAGCAACATACTCAACATTCTCTGGCTGTCAACCTAAGCTGAATAAAAGAAACTTGACATTGTGTCTTCTTGAGGACAGAAAAAGCCTCTGAGGCACAGTTCAGTTCAGGATACAGGAGGATATATTTAAGGTCGTTGTTAACAGATCGACACGGCGACTGTCCTAAAATGTTGAGGTGAGGAGGAAGCTGAGCCTGAAGCTGAATCTATGAGCTGGGACAGAAATGACTGCTCACAGCTGAAATAAGATTTTGGTTTGCAGTGTGTCTGGAGCCAGAGGGATGACAAGAGCAGCTCAGATATCTGGGGAAGTACTTCAATTTTAAATGAGCCATTTGGTTTTTGGATGGTTCTGTAAAATGATGACCTAGATTTGTCGAAAGAATTATTTTATTTTATTTTATGGGTATTTTCTATCTCATTTTAAAAATTGAAATAGTGGCCAGTCAGTTATTATGAAGCAAAATAATTATAACTTTAACTTTTAAAAAACTTTTTTGAAGGAGCTAAACTGTTCCTGCATAATGTTGGTTGCAGAATACAGTGGTGCATTAAATTGCATCTTGGGACACAATTTCTGCCTGAGCGAAACTAAATGAGCCTGATCTGAACCTTAAAGAAATTTTGTTCTATGTGTCCGAACCCGACTACTAACGTTTTCCCCAATCAAAGGCACATGCTATGCAAAAAGTCAAGTAGGCTTGCCCAGCCAACAAGACCTGACAAAAATCCAAATATCATTTTGGATTTTTTGTCAGAGCCCTGAGGTTGGGTTGGGTATCCACACTCTATAAATTATATTAGAAAAAACTAGATCACGCTCTTTAGATTAGAGTTAACAAGGAGGATATTCAAATCTCCCCTTTAAAACATCCAAATAAGAAAACAGAATTAACCAGCTATTACAGACACTGATTGGTGAAAATAAAGCACTGGAGTACTTAACCAATCAGATTCCTCAGCACTGTACTTTCTTAAAGTTCAACCCCCCTGAGCTGGGAGCTTTGGGGGCTGAAACCATTTTCCTTGAACTTGATTTAGATCCTATTTTTCATCGTGTTAATATTCTTCCCTAAAATTCTGCTTGTATGAGTTATTCTTTGCACACAGAGCATCAGCAGCAGCATGACAACCACTCTCACAGGAACACAGGAACTGTATTTCATTATTATCTGCATCTCTAAATCAATGTCACTTTTGGATCCCTGCTTCATTTCCAAGAAGCATGCGTGTGTTTGTATGTGAGCGTCCATCACTGCCTGTGTCCCTGTGTGTGCACTCAGGTGTCGTGTATAATTATACAGAATGAAAACAAAGCAGCAGCAGTTGATTAACTTTCAGCTTGTAGCTCCCAGTCTGCGATCTTGATCTGGGCCCTGAGTTGTGTGAACCGTCTATAACGAGGGGCAACATCATGGGCATCCAAAAATTCACACTGACCAAAGCTTCTGCATAATTCATTGACCCTGATTTATCGAACCACTGTAATATTGTTTATGAGCAAACGTGGTCTGAAAAGACGCACTACACCTGGAGTGGTGTAATACAGCATCTTTTGTGCCAGGAGTGGGTTAGGAGATTCTCAGGGAAGGTCATTAGTTACAAAAAATACAAGCTGTGCTATGTTGTCAACACGAGTTGCAGTATTATAAGTATGTGGATAAAATGCTGCGCAAAGAAGATTCTATTTTACGTCTTTTTCTTAGTGTTGATTTTGCAGAAAGTTTTTTGCACAAATATATGTTGTTATTATTCCTGTTGGGAACAGAGATTCTGTCTGGATCTGAAAAGGGCCAGTTTCTGTGAGTTTTCAGGTTAGATTCATAGATTATGTCCTTATTTTTCATATTGAATTGTACAAGCTGTAATTATTGAAGATGTGAAACAGGTTTAGATTTTATTTATTAACTAAACCTTTAATTAACTGCTCCAGAAATCGAGTATGATAAATAATATAGAAATGGAATCATTATGTTTTCATAATCACCTCAAAATTGTTGTGTTTTCCTTCGCTCTGGATGAACCCTCTTCCATGGACCACCATTTTGCTCCACTATGTTTCTACAGTTGCCCAGAAAGGATCAACCAAACACCGGCTCTAGAGAGGGGCTTAAATATTTTGTTGCAATCTGCAACCACAGATCTAGATGCTACTTAACCCTGCAAACTGTTCCTTTAAATGTCGTGTTCAGAGTGACTACACCTGTGTGCAGAGTTAGATGGTGCTGTTCTAAGAATAACACAAGGAATCCAAAACCCCTGGTAAAATGGTAAAATGATAAAATGGGGAAAATAAATGTATATTTTGCAATTTGTTGCACTTGTGAAGTGTTTGAGTTCACAAAACACTTTTGGAGTTTCAGGGGTAAACAGTGTTGAAGCCAAATCCAATACAATTAAAGTAATTGGCGACCACTTCGTCAAACGTAAAATAACAACAGATAAAAACAGAAAATGCCTCCATCCTGCTCCTGTCGTGTCATGTCCGTAAGCCCGACATTCAAACTCAACTTGAGACAGCATCATTTACACCATGTTTTTGTCCACTGTTATACCTAGCCCGGAGCCGTGTTCACGTTCGCAAGCACACACCACAAAAGCTCTAGCTCAAGGGGTGCGAGACAAGATCAGCGAGAACTTGCGATAGCTGCACACCGATGTTTACATGCTCCTGGAACTTGCAATACACACAACAGAGAGAGAACTGCTGGAGTTTCAGCAATCAACAAGCAACACTCATCAATCTGTTGAGCTCTGACTGCGTAACCCCACTCACTGAACTGAAACACAACTGAAGGGTGGATATTACCCATGATCCCACGTTTCCTGAATCAAATACACAAAAACTCTGAATACTGGACATAAACCAGCTCACCAAAGTTACATAAAACAAGAAAAGGCATTCAGAGTGAGGAGTGGGATTCGAAACTATATTTGAAGATGCTATTTTAAGGTAAAAAAGTTGCATAGTTTTATTTTAATTCCGGATCCCTGGGCAAAATATAATGAAACTGTCATATGTAGTCTGCCATGTACTCTGCACCTAATGGGAAGTTACACTGTGCTACAGGATCCTGTACAAGTTAAAGATAGTGGGAGAAACCAACAATGGGGGCCTAAAGATACATTTAGCCCAGGAACCCAAACCTGATTAATCCAGTCCTGCTTTGAGGGGATGCCAGTCAATTATTAAAGATACTAAAGGGCGCTCTTACTTTACAGCCGTTTCTTCAGGCACCTCCAGAGATACAGTCAAAGTTCCTGATGTCAGCTCACACAGCTCAGGACTCACACAGTGCAGACTCTCCGTCACCTGGAGCAGACAAACAAACACGGACCACATATCATTTCTTTGGAAAATGTTCAAGATAAACCCACAGAAGCTTCAATTTAGTGATGAAGTTATCTCACCCTGTCTGCCTCCCACGGCACCACCAGCAGCCTCTGCCCAGGTTTGGGTTGCCATGGTTGCAGGGTGGGAGGTGCTGGCGTGATGGTGGACGGGATGGTGGTTGGCTCTGGCGGCTGAGTGGCAGCTGCGGTGGTGGAGGCGACAGGGGTAGCGAGCTCAGGAGCGGAGGGGGTAGCAGGGTCCCAGTCAGCGGCCGGCAGGTCCAATAGGATTTGATCACACCTCTCCCCCTCGTAGCCCTCGCTGCACTCACAAGTGTAGGCCGGCTCCCCCTCCTCCCCACTGTCGCTCCGGCTGCAGTTTCCATGGAGACAGGGACTGCTGGTACAAGGATCTGTGAAAAACTGGTAAAAAAAAGAAAATCAACAAAAACAGGAAGTGTTAGAGAGGAAGACTGAACAAAAGCATTATTATCTAACAGCATTTTTCGCAGTCCTCCTGTCTGCACTGCTGTCATCTCAAATCCATTTTTGTTAAAGTATCTCCAGTTTTGCACCAATAAAAACCCAGAGTAGAGAGCTGGGATCACGGCTGTAGTCTCCAAGTCATCGGCTCAATTGGCTGATCAATATGATTCCAAAGTAACACCAGAGACTGGTAAATCTAAAAACAGTAAACAGACGACACCTCTCCACTTCCTCCCACTATCCAGAAATGAAGCCAAAATATCCCAGGTGCTAACACAGACATCTTGTGCTGATGATATAAAAACCAGTATTGCTCCAAAAAATATTTTCAGATGAGATCCAGAGTAGAAAGACCCGCATAATCAATTCCCCGACGGAGACAACCAACCAAAGACAACCATTTTCCTTGAATTTGGTTTTGTGTGGCTTTGTGTGCGAGAAGTCCAAACTGATAATTTTCTCTCACTTCTATTATTGATCTGTGACTCATCTTCTTCCCACCCTGTGCTCTGCTCCTTCCTTTTATAACATCTTCCCTCTGTTTTCCTAATCTCTTGTTGCAGGAGTGCATTTCTCCCTCTCTCACACACATATAGTATGAGTATACAAACTGTATGCGTGCACATGAGCAAAGTTGCATTTCATCCACAAACATGGTTCTTGCTGTCATGCAGCCGTGAGAAAGATGTACCCTGACGTTCTCCTTCATGCTGGTTTCACCCATCAATAATTGATCATATTTGGAGGAAAACGTGTCAGTGTGGATGTTGAAAGTAAAAGAGGACAAAGCAGAGCCTGCCAAGGTTAGAGCTGCCTGACACGGTGTTGTTTTTTGCATGGCTCTCTGAGGCGTTTTAGGGCTTAAGAATTTTTATAATCCTGCTGCGTCTTATTTATGTGAAAATTCACTGAAACATCCTCAGGTATCTTCGGCTCCAGCTGTCCAATTTAAATGTGTGCAAACCACAGTTTTAATAGAAGGAGGAAAAACAAAAACCCAGGCTGGAGAGAGGCTGAACAGAGGGATGGCGATGATGCTGGTATAAATCCCTCAGTGCATACAGATGTGTGCGTGTGAGAGAGAAATAGTGAGGAGCAGAACAACAGAGCATCATTAACAGTCCGTTCGCTCCACGACCAAGTCACAGCTCATTAGTGTTAATCTCGCTCAGGTTTTTACTCGCTACGCTCTTTATCAAACTCTTTCCCCGGCTCTGCTCTGAAGCACTGTGATCAGAACGGCCCAGATAGGCCCACTCCTCGGTTCTTAAACAGTCTGCTGAGCTTATCTCCAGTCAAACTGCACCGAGGTTTGACTTTATCAACCTTTGCAGAACAGCAACGTTGGCTCGTCTGGGTTAGAGGAAGCATCAGAGTCCAGCTCGTGACCTTTTTCATCTGTCACTGCTGATTTCTCTTCCGTCCTAACAGGCTCCGTGCAGGCTGCACACAATGTGCTCTAACTCAGAGCAAAGAGGAACACAACAGGACTTTTAACAAGGCTCAGAATATGAGCAGAAATCTGGGTCACAGTAACTTTATCCTGATAACAATCAATACAATCATTTTATTATGGCCACAACTTCTACCTTTAGGAAGCGTTCAGTGGTCATGTGTGTTAAAGATTCAACAAGATGATTGTTGGTAAGTTATTGTTAGTGCTGCTGAACTGGATTAGGTTGTATTAGAATGTGTTTCCCTTGATGTTTGTAAAGACAAAACACAATATGTTGTGGTCCAGTTCCACAACACTGTCAACTTCAACCTCTTCATTAAACACATGGTCAGGTTATCGGTTAGATCAAAATGTTATCTTTGTAGAATTTATGGTTGTATCAAGTTGTGTTTGATTGTATAGGAGTATCATACACTGCATATTAAGATGGAAGACATGACGGCCCACAAAAGTAGAACCAAATAATCTTGACTGCCTCCTGTTGGCTGGCGGCAGTAAATCTTATAACCCTGCCTGGATATACAATGTGTCCATTTTTCCAGTAAGTTTGGTTTTAATTATTTTTTGATGCTATGAAACGCTGAGTCATAATTAGTCAAGCACGTGACTCAGCACGACCTTGATACCACGGCTTCGCTCCACGATCACTACTGCACAGACTCTGGCTTTGAACGATGTCAAATGCACAAGAAGTAGCATCTGCATCTGCATGTTGAGACAGCTCGCCCATCTTTACACAGGCCTACAGTCTACGGCCAAATGTCCATATGACTGGCCGCTGGTTGTACAGAAACAATTGTTTTAGTAAATTAATTAACTATAATCATATTTAGTAATTATGTACTGTAGAAGTAAAACGCTAAACATACATGTCACCAGTACCGGTTTCTGCTTTTCTCTGAATTTGGTGTAGGTTGGAAACATTTAGGTGATTTGAGGATGTCACCTTCAACATTTTAATGATATTTAATTTACTTTTTATGAAATAGTTTGTAAACTGCATGATGAACAGATCAGATAACATATCATCATATGTAGAATTAGTGAAACTGTTGTAGGTACTCTTGACTCAATTATATGAGCTTTGGATAATTTATTTATTAAAAACTTATTATTACTTATTTGCCCCAGTAGAAGGTGGAGCCTGATTGGCTGACACTTCCCTCAGTAGTTCAACCTGTTAGGATAACCTACACTTTCAACACTCATGTTGATACAGTATGTTAAAACTATCTCACTGGTATTACTATGATTGTTAGGGTGCTTGTTGATGTGAGGAATCATGTATTGTACCAATATCCCTGTGTCACTGTGCTCGTCATCGTTCAGCACTGAACCGCTCGCATGTCGTGAACTCTGACAATCAATTTCCTCTAAGCAGCTGATAATAACCCACATTAGTCGCTTTATCTATGCTCCTGCACTGGCCAACAAACTCAGATGCCCTGAGGCTAAATTAATTGCTTCACAAGTGCCTGTGACCTATTTGCTAATTTGGGACGGCTGCACCGAGGAGGGCAGATCGATAAAGGCAGACGCAGGCAACCAGCAGCTTCCTAAAGTATTGGCATCATCGGTTTAACCTGGTAGAGGAGATGGATGTGTCTTTTTCTGCAAACAAGCCACACACACACACACACAAACAAATTTGTGCTCAGTGAGTGAAACAGACAAGCATCGGTATAAAGCTTAAAATCAGTAAAGGACTGAAAGAAAAAGAAGAAAAGGTGGAAAGTGAGCAGAATGTAACCTTTACCTGTTTGGAACATCATCACTTAAATATGAAACTCAGCAAATGGATAATTGAATTTAGCAGCGTAATCTAAACACGCAACCAAAATGTTACATCTCATTCTCTGCACAGGCAACACATCAATAATGTAAAATGAAGACGAACACAGTCTGGTGAGATTGAAATGTCTTTCTTCATATTTAAAAAGTGTTTTGTTGAGTTCTGCTGCCTCTAAAATGCCTGGAGGAGGCTGTCGATCAGCTCCCGACAAACCTGACATCCTCCGACAACCAACAGAGGTGTGATAGTGATGCAGTGTCACATTTCTGTAAAGGATTTCACCGACACCTCCACAGAAAAAGGAAACGTTCACACTCCGATGAAGCCGCCAACAGACTTGATGTGCTGCAGTGTCAATAGACTGCAGAGTTAATTTTGTTTGATAAAAATGTTTGAATTAAAGTTGGTAGTAGACATTTATTTCTACTTAAAATAAAGTTCTACCAAAAAACTGGAATGATGTTAGTGTCTTCAAATGGTATGTCAAATATTCAAGAATTTTCATTTTGGAAACATCAAGAAAATTGTTTAGAAAATTGAAATATTAAATTTGGATTTGGAAAAACTGTTCAGCTGATCTACTTCCAATCAGTTCCTGTAAAAATATGATTTAATTTGCAGTCAGTGCACAGCATGCAGAAGTAAGATTTAAAATTGAAATTGATATATTGGGACGCAAACAAATCAACATGTATGGAGAGTAAAGTTTCCATCAATGAATTCAGCGTTTCATAAACATTTCTTTTCAGGGAAATTTTGAACTCTTTTGAAGATTACCAGAATTTTACATATACATGTATATAATTATTTTTGCCACTGTCATGCTGAAGTCTGTGTTAATAGCATTAAAGATCATTTGGTTGGTCTCCAGAGTTATTAACTAATGAGAAAAACCTCTTATAAGCATCTCGGAGAGGAAGCCTAAACATTTTGAGGCTGCTTTACTTCTTATACTGTTTTAGACACAAACTCCAGAAAAATTGGGTCTTGACACTTTCCAGAGTTTTTCTGTCACAAACAAAGAAAAAAATCTTTCCAGATTGACATCTTCATCCGTGTCTTCCATCCTAAGATGATTGTTTTCTTCCAGTTTCATGTCAACTTGTCTGTTTTTTTTTTTATGAGGGGACTGGTATAGCAAAAGGTCAGAGCTATAGACAGTAAAAGACAATTTTCTCAACTGCCTATCAACATTGTTATATGACTTCATCCAGGAGAAAAGTTGAGTCTTGCAGCCTGAAGATTTAATAGTTAAACTCCACCTTATTATATGGATGTGATGATGAACAGGGAGTATTATTAGAAAAGATGCAGCACTGAAGAAAAAACACAAAGACGCACTACAATCTTTACGAGCACTTGTTTTCAGCCTGACCATGATGGAGCAGGATGTAATCCTTCCAGTAAAACATTCACAGCAGCCTCCTTCTATAACTCACCATCATAACACAACATGGTCTCTGTTCATGCACATGCAGCGTTTTAGTTATTGGTCGATGCACACCGGCAGAAAAAAACCCATCTCTCTCTAGCTCTGACTGTGAGCCGGAACATTTTCAGCGGCTGCAGCTCAACGATGCTCTCGTGGCTGAATGGGCAGCAAGTCCACATTTAACCCCGGTTGGTACGAGTGCAGGAGACAACAGTGAAGGTCAAGGTGAATAATTCAGAGTGTGGCTCACCTCTCTT